CATGCTGGACCCTTTTGTCTTTCTCCCTAATACTTTTCACTTGCCGCTACTGTCATCGTCTCTTCCCCATATGTAGAAAATGTCACATATAGACAAAAATCTTTTTTTCCAGCTGCTTCAATGCCTGCTGCTACTTGGCATTTTTTCCATGTAGTAATGATCAGGATCTTGAGCAGATGTACAAACATTACACTATCTCAATTCCACATCTCTTCTTTGAATCGGTGGCCCGTTTGCAATGCAATGACTCATTAGATATGACAGCATGGATTTATACCGCTGCAGAATATCTTTTTACGGGAATCAGAATAATGAGGCTGATTTGTAGTTAGTGTTGCAGACAACAATGTCCCATTCTAAGCCACCATCATACTAACCCTCCCTTTTTTTCAAATACTAACCCTACATGAAACCCTAATCCTATCTGTAACCATAAAACTAATCCTAATTGTTATTGATAATACGAAGCCTTCCTGTAACCCACCATTAACCAACAACCTTCACTTTAACCCTAGCAGTAATCCATTCTGTTATCATAACATTAACCCTTCTTGTAACACTAACCCTTCTTGCAACCTTAACAATAATCTGTACTCGTAAGCTTCCCTGTAAACCTAACATTACCCCTTCTTGTAACCCTAACACTAATCCTTCCTATAGCTGTAAAACGAAACGAACAACCAGACAGATAAACAAGTTACTTCCATTTATTGATACAATTGGAAACTGTGTAGAGTACCATAAATGCATAAAACATCCCGGAGTGAAGTTTAAAATAATTGACAGCATTGTCGAATAACCACTACACAACACAAACCCCTTCATTCATCAGTCACACCAGGTAATACCGGTACCAAACAGTGGTGATAATTGCTGGTGGCTATATTCATAGCAAGGTACATCAATACTGCTGTGTATGGAAGTGGGAGAACATGAGCATGTTACATATGATAAGTGGCATGGGTGATCATGAGCTAAAATAATTGTCCATGGCATGCGTTGTTCATGCCATGTATTGTGTCTGAAAATGTCCAGCATGGAGATATCTCATAAACAGCCTCGCAATTCACAAGCACAGTTTCTTCTTAGAAAACCGAATCCCACATATATCTAACAGAGCCACTAAGCAGGTAACTTACAGACTGTTGGGGAACAGGCATTTCAACATAGCATGACAATGCAGGTGAAAGGCATTTGCGACAATTACTCCAAAGCATTACAGTTTCAAAACTTCAGAATATTCCAGCAGGTAAGAGGATGAGCATGCTATAGTTATTTAAGACCAGCTAGCACAGCAAGTCCCCACATGCACTCCAGGCTATTTGCCGTGTGCCTCAAGCCACAACAAGCATCTACTATGCCATCTCCTACACTTACTTAGTGAGGTCATTGGCATACCAGCACATAAAAAAGGACTAGAATGATGGAGTTTAACCTGCAAAGTCAAAACAGTTCCTGAACATCGAGTGACTTCATTAAACTAGGACACTGCCAGGAAGCGGGGGATGTGAGTGGGCAGCTGGCCTGAACACCAATGTGTTTTGTCCATCTACACGTGGATTTTCTCCAGGTGTACCTTCCAAAGTCCATTTATAACTGTGGTACATTTAGATTCGCCTCCTACTTGCATGAACTCAATCAACAGGCCACATAATCCTTTGCAATGCCAAATTACTACAATTATCCCCGCTATTTAAATATGACAGGGGCAAACACAGAAATCAATGTAGACTAATCTCATGCATCTACTGAATCATACTGGTGTAACTGTTACTAAGCCCCTTAGCCGTCATAGCCATCCCAAAATAAATATCCTACAATAAACACGCTGCAGGGACATGCACAATGCACGACATAACAAGTAAGAACTGTATGACCAGAGACACTCAGAAGGTTATTCACTAAGCTGCCAAAGGCAGCCAAGTGAATAACCGAGCCAAAGTACCGAGCCATTAGGCTATTCACTTCAGCCCTGTACAGCTGATTTTGGCCGTACATCGGCTGAAATCATCCGTACATCGGTTGGTTTCGGCTCCATTTGGTTCAGCCGAACATGCTCAGCTCGGCTGAACTGAAGTGAAGAACATGCTCGACTCAGCCGATCCAACATCTGGATCGGCTGAGCGGAACCTCCGGTAAAAAAAAGGGGGCCCCCCTCCCAAACCAGGAAAGTTAGGAGGGACCCCCAGTTAAAAAATGTAAAAAGTGCATAGAGAAAAAAAGTGGGGTACCTTAAGATTCCAAAACCAGACCCTTAATCCGAGTAGCAGCCTGGAAGGGCAGGAAAGGAGGGGGAAGAGCGTGAGACCCTCGGCCCTTGGCACTGGGAGGGTTCTTTTCCAGGGTCCAATAAAGCGGGCACCCAGATGCTGCCCCCTTGTAAATTAGTAAGGGGTACCCCTACTTATTCATCAAATGGTTAAAATTAATTGTAACTAAAGAGTCCACACATCAAGAAAAAAAATCCTTTAATTGAAAGAAAATCAAGCCAAAATTGTGCGACAAGACCTGTAATTAAAAAAAAAAAACAGATCCACCAATGTAATTCAAGGGTCAATCATGACATCCGGTGTTGTCCACGACGACGACTCATCGAAATAGAAAAAACCTGACGCCCATACACGACGAACTCCCTCCGCAAAGTACCGTTCTGGCAGATACCGGCAAAATATAACCAAATGGGCGGAGCTAGCGGCGACCTCACCACTTATTGGACGAATTTCGTTGCAGAAAAATGACATTAGGAAAAAAACGCAGGACCCCCGCCGAAATAAAAACAGTCCCGCCGCAGGACGCCCGTCCGATCTCGAGGAAAACTAGCCGTAAATAAATTACATTCAGTCCGAATGTCAACAGATGGGCGGAGCGAGCCATGACCTCACGGCTTGCTCTGCCCATTTGACATCCTCAGCTGTCAAATGCTACATATTGCATGTATATATATGAAATGCTACTATGGTTAAAAGTTCAGAGTCAATAGTTTAGTGGTTAGCGTACAGGCTTGCCATTGTCAAGGTCGCAGATTCTAATCCAGGGCAGGGAGAATAATAGATAAAGTTTTTTTTTTCTTTGCTTTTGAATTGGCATTCTCCTAACATTCCTACCAGACCTAAAGGGTCTGGTGTGAATTGGGGGGGAACCTCAGGCTTTTTTTTTTTTTTTCATCTTCTGCAGACTGTAAAAAAAAAAAAGTAATTTTTTTTCCTAATGTCATTTTGCTGCAACGAAATTCGTCCTATAACGAATTTCGTCCATAATCCGAATCCGAAAAACGAAACTAAACTAAACTAATTTTTTTTTTGTTTCAAAACGAAACTAAAGTAAACTAATTTTTTTGTTTGTTTCAAAACGAAACGAAACTAAACTATTTTTTTTTCTTTGTTTCAAAACGAAACTAAACTAAACAAATTTTTTGCTGGTGCACATGTCTACTAATGACCATCAATTTCATATGCAGGTTGAAACACAGTCATTAACTGAAACAGAAACAACTGCGTAGGAGGCTTAAAACACATCTGCTGTTCCTCACACAGTGACGTTTGGGAAGATAGTTTCATGTCACAGGTCATACACCACAGCAAGACTGAGCACAGCAACAAAACACTAGGTAGTTATACTGCATCAGCAAGGTCTCTCCCAGGCAAACATTTAAAAGCAGACTGGTGTTTCAAGATGTGCTGTTTAAGCTCTTTTGAAGAAGCACAAAGAAACGGGCAATGTTGAGGACCGTAGACACAACCCACATGAAAACTTATTCAGCAGCTAAAATATACACCATGCTTACTTCCCTTTGACATTGGAAGATATCCAGCAGTGCCATCAGCATCTAACTGGTGGAAACCAGTGGGACCCAGGTACAGAAGTCTGGATAGAAGTGTTCTTCATGGAAGAATAAAGGCCAAAAAGCCATACCTCTGTCGTGGAAACAAGGCTAAGCGACTCAACTATGCACGAAAACATAAGAACTGGGGTGCTGAAAAATGGAGGCAGGTGCTCTGGACTGATGAGTCAAAATTTTAAATATTTGGTTGTAGCAGGAGGACGTTTGTTCGCCGAAAAAAATGGAGAGCAGTACAATAATGAATGTCTGCAGACAATGTGAAGCATGGTGGAGGTTCCCTGCAGGTCTAGGACTGCATTTCTGCAAATGGAGTTGGAGATTTGGTCAGGATCAATGGTGTCCTCTGCTGAGAAATACAAGCAGATACTTATCCATCGTGCAATACCATCAGAGAGGAGTGTGATTGGCCCCAAATTTATTCTGCAGCAGGACAACGACCCCAAACATACAACCAATGGCATTACAAACTATTTTCAAAGTAAAGAAGAGCAACGAGTCCTGAAAGTGATGGATTGGCCCCCACAAAGTCCTGATCTCAACATCATCAAAGCTATCTGGGATTACATGAAGAGACAGAAGGATTTGAGGCAGCCTACATCTACAAAAGATCTGTGGTTTGGAACAATCTACCAGCCGAGTTCCTTCAAAACCTGTGTGCAAGTGCACATAGAAGAATTGCCACTGTTTTGAAGGCAAAGGGTGGGAACGCCATTTGATTTGATTTGAATTTCTCTTCTGTTCATTTACTTTCCATTTTGATAATTGATAAAAATAAACTATTAACGCTTTTATTTCTGAAACCATTTTCTCACACCTGCCTAAAGTTTTTGCACAGTTATATATATATATATACATTGATGACTACAGATCTGCATTAATTTGTGTCTTTTACAGAAAATATGAAAATAGATTTTTTTTTCTTAAATTTTTCAGTGCAGACTGAAAATACACAGAAGGTGATGAGTAGTAGTAATTCTCACTCCCTGCTGGACTACAAGATCGATATATTGATAGTCTGCAACACAATATTCCTGTGCTCTAATATATACTTATCTTTGTCAAGCTAATGGCCACCTTCTCAACATGGTTGTGCTTTTGCATCTAATTTCAAAATGTTTCAGCTAATTTTTACACATTTTCATCTTGTGATCTTGTTTAGCTGAGAGGTGATCACTCGATGGACGTGGATAAAATGTCTGTGAATGGACAGAGACCATCTCGAAAGTCAATCACAAAGATGCTTTGTAAGTAAAATATAAAGTGTATGTACTGTGTATTGTAATATATGTGTGTATAATGGAGTTGTAGAAAAATAGATAAAATAATGTTTTTCCAAGGTAATTCTTGAGTGTCCATATTATACACAGTTCTCTTTCCTTTATGTTTTAAAGTGTGTATTGGATTTTATGAACTGTACAAAAGTTCCACAAGAATAAACTGATTGAAAGCACTCAATATTACTGAACATATGGTAAGAAAATCTTGTTAGGAAAAAATAGAGATTTAAAAAAATAAACAATCCATTCTATAAACTGAATACTATTAAGCATTAGGAAAACCGTTGAAATAATGGCTGACCAAAAGCTAAGCAGTAGTTGTTAAACAATGACAATAATTACATATTAGGGATGCACCAATACTGATAGCAGCATCGGTATCAGTCCCGATACTGAGTATTTGAGCAAGCATTCGGACTCACCCAAATGCTCCCGATGCCTATCCCAATAACCCAACTTCAGGTATCAGGAAGCCGGTCGGCGAGTCATTACACAGTGCCTGGCTTCCTAACTGGCCAGAAAGCCGGCTCCATGTTCCCTCGTCACCAGGGAGCATGGAGTTGGCTTCCCGACTAATCAGGAAGCTGGGCGCCGTGTAAAGTCTCACCGTCCAGCTTCCTGAATGGTCGCGAAGCTGGCCAATCAGGATCCAGGCGACGAGTCATTACCTGCCCGCCAGCTTCATGATTTGTCAGAAAGTCGGCCCCATGCTCCCTCGTCACCTGGTAATGAGGGAGCATGGAGACGGCTTCCCGGCTAATCAGGAAGCCGGGTGGCGAGTCATTACACACTGCCCGGCTTCCTTAACCACCTCCTGTCCATGGCCGTTCCTGAACGGCTTAACGGGAGCCTTATAGGAGTGGGGGGGGTGTCTTAAGACATCCTGCCCCTCCCCGCTAGTGCGCGGTGCCCAGCCCGCATACAAGTGGGGAAACTGTCAGCAATGTAAACAGCCAGCGATGGCTGTTTACATTCAAGCGATCGAGCGTCTCAAGAGATGCCCGATCGCTTGTAGTAGCTGCAGGTGTGCGCTCATAGTTCTCCTCAGGGTCACGGGAGTACATATACTGTATCCTCCTGAGACCCAAAACTCAGCAAATTGCTGAGAGCGCCGCAGCCTGGATGGCTTCCGACAATACCAAGATCTACCCCGCTGGCTGATTGACAGCGGGCTTTGGCTATCTAGAAGCAGAGCCAGCTGTGACCACCCCCTCCCCGTCTGTCCCTCCAGTCAGCGCTGGAGGATCAGAGAGGGGAGGGGGATATCCCTGCGCGGGGGAGAAGTGACCGACAGTCACCTCTCACTGCAGGGATCGTATCGGGAAGTGAGCGAGTGGGGGTATATTTTCACTCATTTCCCGATCAATAGATCTGGTGTGTGACAGTTTCAATGTCACACATAAGCTCTAACTATGGGGAGGAGTGTAATTCACACCAATAGTTCTCCTTTAAACAACATATACTTTATGTGCAAATAACAGCATCCTGGACAAGCTGGGAATCCCATCTTTTAATAGAAGATGTCCCAACACTGAGCAGTAGTAATTTATTGTGGGGGGATTAGGGATCTTCACCTTTGCCTAGGCGAATGTGCTGAAAGCTGGGGGTAAATGTTGAGTATTTAAAAAAAAAAATTTAAATGTTACCTCCAATGTTTTATCCTGCCATAGATATCACTTTACATTTTTACATATAGAAAAGCTGAAAAAAAGGGACATTGCATTTTCGTAAATTAAAATGATCAAATTTCTCTTATAACCAGCAGCTTTGGTCAAGAAAAATGTCAAAATAAAGCAATCTGGCAACTGTTGCCAGTTTGGTTTGGTAGAAAAAATATTTCTTCTTGATTTCATATATGTACTGTATAGTCATATCAATTCCATTGATTCAATTGTACCAATGCTATTGTAGCACCCCCCCTGACCCCCCAAAGGCCTGAGGTGGACCCCCAAAAGGTAGGGAGGGCTGACATTTCACTCTTAGGGGCAGATCCATAGCCAGTGAAGGGATGTGTGATTGACAAATTGGGCACCAGTCACTATAAGTGCCTTTTTTAGAAGCATTATTAAAAAAAACAGCATAACTGTTTTTTTTACAGTTAGACTCTAGACTGACCAATCCCTTCAGGCTTCCACAGTGCAGAAATACTTCAATAGGACAGTCTGACACTGTGCAGTAGAACAACTGCTGAATAGGGATATACATGAGTGCTTCCCTAAGAGAGACACCAGACTTGTTCCTAAGGTCCATCACAGCTCTTGGTACCTCCAACAGTCATAAGGCTTCTTTGGTTTTCCTCCTAGATAGTTCCAGGCCCCTCCTGTGGTCCACGTGGCCTCCTGCAGGCTTTAGGGCTAGTCCACATCTCCAACCTTGTGCATCCCACTCACACGCTAGGCCCAGGGTGGACTGAAGACTGAGCACATGGCAATCCCTAAGTATTTATGCACCTCCCCAGCATGCACCACCGGCCATGAAACTCCCAGTGATTGGCTGGTGAGGCATAGACACTCCTGATGTTCCCTTATTGGCTGCCCCACTCTGTAGCAGGGTCACATCCCACTAAGTAGATACAATCAATAGAAGAACACCTGGAATTACCCAGATAATATCAGACTACAAATCAGCTAGACAGTGCTAGCAACACTAATTTTTTGTAGCCACTCCACTGAAGGTGGAACGGGCTACACTATGCTTTAGCAGTTATAACTATACTGTATATACCAATTGTTATGAGAAAACTTCCAGCCTTTTTTAAAGAGAACCTGCCACTAGAACATTCATTTTAAAAACAATCTTTTCATGATATATATGCATTTTACATATTTTAGGCATGATATTTAACTGTAAAACCATCGTCTTGTAGATATCCAAAAGCCCTGAATGTCAGCAGACTCATCACTGCAAGCAAGCACAAACTATAAAAGAACTAGATATTTCTGTGCTTTTAACTGCAGGTTCACAGACTAACCATGCTAGCTAAATTGTAGGACACATTATTGTCCCAGTAAAAGCAACTGTTGCAGGTCACAGATTGCTTGTAATAACTTCAGTACAATCATAGATAAAAAATATTTTATCCTCATCTGACAGCACTGCGGTATCAGAAATATACCCTTGGTCTTGCAACCAGTCATTTATATTCTCTGGTTGACAGTGACATAAATCAAGGCACCAAATGGATATATCTAGAAAGTATGCAAAGATAAGCGCCAGGGTGAAGAAAATGGCTGTTTCAGATGAAAAAATACAGCAACTCACTGCAGCTGATGGTCTGAAAGCATATAAGAGGATGTACTAAATTAATTTAAAAGCCAAATTGAACTTTGAGTTAACATAGTTGCATAGTTACAAAGTAGGTTAGGTTGAACAAAGACATAGGTCCACCAGGTTCAACCTATATAGTGTATGTGTGTATAATGTAGATAGTTACATTGTAGGTGAGGTTGAATAAAGACATAAGCCCATCAGGTTTAAAATCAGCAAAATCCAGGTTCATTTAAACAAAAAGGTATGCAAAGTCTTAGTTTTTCTTTAAGCAGCAATAGACTGATTAGAAATCCTGTCCTTGGCCAACATTCTGCACCGAAGGACCTATGTTCACTGTGTGGAAGTAGTGGTCTTTCTGAAGGAGTCCAACAGGACCTCTGCTAAGTGAAACCTATAGATGTGCAATCAGCAAAACTCATGCTACCTGCAGATTGAAGAGCTCTTGCTCTGGCTGAGTAGGGAATGTGTCAGACATCTGCAGAGTAACCACTGCTTCCATACTTAGAGCAAGGGCCCTTCTCTGCAGCGTGCTGGTAGGGGACAGTCTTTTCTACCAGGCTGTGGCTGTTTTTTGAAAATTGAAAACTGGATCACCTTTTGTTTTTATGCATCTGGAAGGTGTTTAGCTGACTTAAACTGAAAGTGTATTTGGGTTTTAAAAAGCACTACTGACCCGGTGTATGAACACTTGAAAGAAAATTACCATCAGCAACCAATCAGGTTCAAGCTGTTGGTTCTCTAACTTGGTTTAGAAAATTAATACAAAAACTGAGTGGTTGCCTGGGACACTGGCATCACAAGGGGGGTGCGGAAGGTGCGGCTTGCACCAGGTGACACTATCAGAGGGGGTGACACCAAAATGACTCACACGGCAGTTAAGTGCTCATAAGACCTCACATGCGTGCGGGATGCCGTCCCGCTGGGTGACACCCGGTGCCCGCTTCGGGTTACATCCAGCCTGGGGTAACTCTGTCACTTTTCTTTCATCCAGTCCCTACTAATGAGGCTCCCTGTTCTGCCCCATAACTTTTCATCTATCTGAGAAATTTGGCAACAAATTAACAAGTGTTAGCTATAGTTCACTTCCATTATAAATCCACAATTTAGTATATTAAATGATATTAAACTCTCTCTCTCTCTCTCTCTCTCTCTCTCTCTCTCCCTCAGGGGCCAGCTCGATCTTCTGTACACAGAAGAAATCCTTGTAACTGATCTTGTTAGACAGCATGCAGCCACTGTCTTTGGTGTGCGTCACCTTCTAATGCGTTTCATGGATGGGCCCTCTTAATCAGATCTCTGAACCAGGATCAGCTACAGGATTTCTTCTGGTCTCTTCCCAGATGTTTTTATATGACAAAACAAGTTTGTAAAAGAATGTTTGTGAGTCTTTATTTTGTATTTAATAAAGGGTTATGCAGGTGTAACACAATGCTGGTGCACTTTCTATTTGTCCTCTAATGTTTTAGAAAGATTCACAGTCCGGAGGAAGCAGCAAAGCTGTAGAAACCGTGTATCATACTAATACCAATATTATACAACTTTCACTTTAGTGTATCTTAAAGTTTCCCTGAAGCAAGATTGTATCCTTTTTTTCCACTTGAACGCTGTCTGTTTGTATTTTCGATGTTCCATATGTGTAATAAGCACAGGAGGCTAATTGCAGAAAACGGTCTCTTTTAAGTATACATAAACTGCACATAAGCTCAAAGGCATTCACATTTCTAAGTGGCTAGCAGTATGAAGAAATGTGAATAATGAAAAAATTATATAGATATTTTTCTGAAGGTCAAGTGACTGCGTGTCTGCATTATCCTCCAGCTTCTTGTGGCCAGACATTAAGACTGCATTAATGCTGAATTCCAGACGCCATGAATTTAATGTTTGTAGACATTGTTATTAGTGTATCTCACGTACTAAACTTATCGTATGTTATTACAGTTGTCTTAGTGATGGTTTTTGCCATCTGTTGGGCCCCTTTTCACATTGACCGACTTTTCTTCAGCTTTGTGGGTGAGTGGACTGAGCCTCTAGCCAACGTCTTTAACCTCATGCATGTGGTTTCTGGTAAGTTGAATACGAATAAACTGAACTCTCTATAATAGTTGTGCAGATGTAACTTATGGGTTATTTGTAAGGTACATTATAATCAAGCATGAAATAATTACTTTTACATTGATTTAGCAGCTGCCATGTTTTCCAAATCCTTATGTTTTCCAGTATCCTGATTTTCTGAATACTCTTAAATAGTAGTCTAAAAAATATCTAAGGAAATATTCAGGGCCAGATGTAACAACAAAGAAAGGCCTATTTTATCCAATACAGAAAACCACTGGTTTTCCCCTTCTTACCACTGCATTGAAGCAAGAAGCTTCTCAAACTGATGTCAAACTGATAACACATTTATTGACTACCCAGATCTATAAACTCCAGATGGTCTGAGACCTCGCCGCTAATAAGGAATATATTACAAATATGATGTCAAACTGATGTAATATGATGTCAAACTGTAATATGATTACAAATATGATGTAATATGATGTCAAACTGATGCAATCAACACAGGCCCTTACTGCGCCATGTGCTTTTTTTAGGTAGCTGTCACAAAAGAGGCTTTTCCTCACAGACTGCAGACTTTTGCCTGGGGTTCACCCTTACCATGAACTCTGGTGCAGTATCCATGATCGTAACAATATTGTTAACAGAGCTTAAAAGGAGAACTATGAGGTGAGTGATTTTCATTCAACCTCATAGTTCGAGCCGAAGTGTGACAATGAACTGTCACACGTCAGCTCAATAGATCAGGAACACATACCGTCGCTCGCTCACTTCTCAATCATGTCCCTGCAGAGAGCCGTGACTGTCACTCACGGCTCCCTGCAGGGATTTCTCCCCTCCCCGCTCCGTTCCTCCAGCGCTGACTGGCGGAACAGACGGGGGAGGGGGAAGGTACAGCTGGCTCTGCCTCTAGATAGATCTAGATGTCAATCACGCAGCTGGGTGGACCTCGACAGTAATGTCGGGATCCGCCCCAGCTGCGGCGGTCTCAGTATACCGTGAGCCGTAGCTCGCGGTATACTGAGCTTTGGATCACGGGGGAATGCTAGTTTGTGTCCTCCTGTGAACCTTAGGAGAACTATGGGGAAAAACACTTACCCCATAGTTCTCATTTAAAGCTGAACTCCAAGTACAGTAAAATTAGCATTGATTATTTAGATTGCAGCTAAGGTGCCTTTTCTGGCTTGCAATGTCCCCACATCTGGTGGCACAGACCAGTCATCTCTGCTGCCTATGAGCAGGGTGACCTGTACCCTTAGTGTCGTCTCCCTGCAGTTCTAGCAAGGGAATTGTGATGTCATCAGGCAGATACCATGGATGGGAGCTGCTGCAGGACATACCAACTATGTCCTCTCTGGATCCTACTCCGCATATCTCAGCCTCTCTGATGCTTTCTATATATTTCCCCAGCAACCTCTGAGCATGTGGATCTCTCTTCCCAACAGTTGTAGAATCACTTCAGGCAAAAAACTATTCTGGTTCAAGGAAGTAAAGAAAAAATATGGAGATCCTAAGCGGGGGGAGTGAGGTGGGGCATTTATTTTAGCTGCGGCCTTGATTGAGCTTTAACAGAGATTTATGGCCAAACCTTTTCTGGCTGTAGTTCTCTTTAGGGTCACAGGAGGATATTTACTAATGTCCTCCTGTGACCCAAAACTCTGCATATAGTGGCCTATTGCCTGCTATATGCTGACAACGCAAACTGCACGGCAGCTGGGAAAGATCCCGACAATATTGTTGGGATCCACCCCGCTGCCTGATTGACAGCTGGCAGTGCCTCTCCAGAGCTAGAGTCAGCTGTGCCCTCCACCATTTGTCCATAGAGGTCAGTGCTGGAGGAACCGAGAAGGGAGCGGGGAATCCCTGCAGGAAAGTCACCCCTCTCTGCAGAGAGAAGATCATGAACTGAGCGATCAGCGGTATGTGATCTCTCAGTTCTCGATTAATAGAGCTGACATGTGACAGCTGCAGTGTCACACGTTGGCTCTAACTATGGGGATGACTATATTTCACTCATCCCATAGTGTTTCTTTAAGTTAACTTTTTAGGAAAAAGAGACAGACAAATCTCTGAGGAACATGATGCACTTGATGGGCCTTGTGACCTTTCTGATTCCAGGTACACCCTTCCAAAACTTGTTCGACCCCTGATTATCAAATGTTGAAAAAAAGATTCTATGTCATAAGATATAACTATCTCCATTCATCCTGCAGTATGGTGTGAAATTACTTTTCCTGGCAATGTATATCCTAAAAATCTAAACAAGCGACCTTGTATCCTGAAAGGTCAGAATAGGTGTAATATGTGTGCTTGTTCCTGGGGATAAGTTGCCTATCAGGGACTGCAAGTGTTCCGTGACGTTTTAAATAAGCCTCCTCAAACCTCAAAAAACTGTAGGCACTCAGCCATTGCTGGAGTGCGAGCATGTAGACAGGACAGTCATAAATATTTTCTTCCATGGATCAGAAGCATGAATATAATCTCTTTCACAGACAGCTCTACAATTTCCTGTTATCTCAACACACAGGGAGGGGCCAGATCTCCTCTGGCCCTACACTGAACTGTCAGGATTTTGCTTTGCTCAGAAACGAAATTCTTGTTTGTTTCAGCTATTTATCTAAAAGCAAGGCTGGATATGATAGCAGGATATGGTCCATATACCCATCGCACTCGATAAACGTTAAGTGGCGGCAACCACTGTCGACGGATGACTACCGTCTCAATGTACAAATAGAAATATAGACACCGGCACTCCAATGGTAAATCAAATATGTCTATTTATTGATGTACATGCAGCATAGCAAAGTACACTCTGTACGACATTTCGGGGTCTCCAAGGATCCCCTGCATCAGGATGCATCACTGGTTCTGCCTGATGAAGGGGATCCTGTGAGACCCCAAAACGTTGCACTGTGTGTACTTTGCTATGCTGCATGTACGTCATTAAATAGATGTATTTGATTTGCCATTGGGGTGCCGGTGTCCATATTTCTACTTGGTTATGATAGCAGACGACTTGAGCAGAAAGCTTTGGGTTAGAGGCCACGGACTCTGAACAGCAACGTTTTAAAGAAAAAAACATTCTTCAAATAACCTCCACCAATGCAAGTAGATCAATGTGCTTCCTGAAAACAAGCAGAGACCCTCAAAATGGTTTACCAAAATGGTTTATACTTGTCATCGCTGCAATCTGGTATAGGAATGTTCTTGTTTCTTGCAGACATTTTCATATATTCTTCATCAAGGCTCTATTCTCCATTGATAGATATAAAGCAGGGGTCTCAAACTCAATTCCCTCGAGGGCCACTCGACAAACTTTTTTCTCCCAAAGCGAATACCGTCGCTCGCTCACTTCTCTACCCTGCCCCTGCAGAGCTCCCTGTAGGGATCCCCCCTCCGATCCTCCAGCGCTGACTGGAACAACGAACGGGGGAGGGGGCGGGTACAGCTGGCTCTGCCTCTAGATAGGCAGAGGCAGCTGTCACTCACGCAGCTGGGGGGATCTCGACAGTAATGTCAGGATCCGTCCCGGCAGCGACGGTCTCGGTATACCACGAGCTGTAGCTCCCGGTATACTGAGCGTTGGGTCATGGGAGGACACTAGTTTATGTCCTCCCGTGACCCTGAGGAGAACTATGGGGAAAAGCACTTACCCCATAGTTCTCCTTTAAAATAAAATGTAACTATATGCGATAGGGTACTACGCACCCCACTACACACAATAAGGCCCCATTCATATTTGTAGGTTTTAGTGCAATTAGGGATTCCTGCGTCAGAAACTTGCGTTTTCCTGCAGCAGGAATCCCTAATCTGATACACGCGGCCGCTGTCACCCATTCAAGTTAATGATCAGATGACAGCAGTTGCATGTAAATGCCTGCACACCGCATGTAATGATATGTGATATTATTACATGCAGTTAGAAAACACTCTCCCTGGATACACAATCATTGCGTCCAGTGAGAGTGATTGATTCCTAACCGAATGTAATAATATCACATATCATTACATGCGGTGTGCAGGAGTTTATATGCAACTTCTGTCACCTGATCATTAACTTGAATATGTGACAGCTGCCGCTTTTATACGCCAGATTAGGGATTTCTGATGCAGGAATCCATAATTGCACCTAAAGATACAGGTGTGAATGGAGCCTAATACACCTTCTCCCCCCCCATGCCCCCCCCCCCTTTACATAAAAAAAACAACCTATCCCTGCACATAAAATAATACACCCCCCATACACATATGGTACGCGGTCGGTGACCGTGTACCAGACTTGTGAGCGGGCTGCGGGCCACATAGTACCGGCTGGTACTTTGAGACCACTGATCTAAAGACTTCATCTCTCTTCCTGAACCCTTATTGTGACTATATTCACTTGGCATTACCATCAATTTACTAGGTAACAGAGACCTCTCGTTTAACAGGAAACTGTTACAGGTTGTTGTACATCCCCAATGCCTATAGTTTCACTTTGGCTCACCGATTACATCCTTTTAGGTCATTATTTGACCATAGTTACAGTTTTTTTTTTTTAATGCAGTATATGGTGTTAGTGTCCTTATAACACCTACAGTAAGAAGACACCTACATTAGATTCACCCCCCC